AAAGAGAAGAAAAAGAAAAAGAGGATGAGAACAGGGACGAGAACAAAGAACGAGAAGGAAAGAACGAACGAACGAACGAAAGAACGACGAAAGAACGACGAAAGAAAGAAAGAAAGAAAGAAAGAAAGAAAGACAGAAAGACGGAAAGATAGAAAGACAGAAAGACAGAAAGACAGAAAGACAGAAAGACAGAAAGAAAGAAAGACAGAAAGACAGAAAGACACAAAGACAGAAAGACAGAAAGACAGAAAAACGGAAAGACAGAAAGACAGAAAGACAGAAAGACAGAAAAACGGAAAGACAGAAAGACAGAAAGACGGAATCGAACTCGAAAACAAATGGATAAATAAAAGACGGAAAGAAAGACCGAAAGAAAGCAAGAAAGCAAGAAAGCGAGAAAGCAAGAAAGCAAGAAAGCAAGAAAGCAAGCAAGCAAGAAAGCAAGAAAGCAAGCAAGCAAGAAAGATAGAAAGCAAGAAAGAAAGAAAGAAAAAATAAGGAAAGAAGGAAAGAAGGAAAGAAGGAAAGAGAGCGACAACAAGAGCGGGATAGAGAGAAGGGGAAAAAACAAAACCATAGTTCTTGCATCTGTTTGAACATTTCGATCTGTCTTTGCCCGACTTTACTGGTATTGCAATTCTTGAAGCACTATCAAAGCTTACTTTTTCATTCAGCCTCATAAGGTCTAAAAGAAGGCCGAAGCCTTTGTGACCAAGGGTCGATATTCGAGACACGCAGTGCTTGATTGCTTTTGGTCTTCCTTCGAACAGAAGCGGGTCCCTTCCCCGCAATCCGCCAGGAACCTGCCCCAGCGCCCCAAACCCAGGAGACCCGGTAGTTGGGGCTCCACATGCCCATTGCCCTGAAAACCAAGGGTTCAAACCCCAGCAAAAAATATAATTTTGGATCGAACCCCCCTGGTTCAAACCCTGGCCACCCGAAAAAGATCAGTCTCCAGAGTACATGAGAATGCTGGTGCACAGATCAGTGGTTTTTGTTTTCTCATGGAAAACGCAATGGATTTCATTGAAACGCAGGCCCCATGGCGGGCCCTTCCGAGAAAATAAATAAAGATTAAAAAACAAAACACTCGCCCATAGCTAGACGCTGAGTCCGATCCCTAGATCCCGAGCCTGGCCACGTTGTTCCCCAGGTGCTGGTCCCCGGTGCAGTAGGGCAGCGCAACCCATTGCCACGTCCTAAGGCCAGTTGTCTTACGGGACCGCAGAATACTAAGGCTCCGGATTTGTTTTGGGATTTGTTTTGTGTCCGTTTTGTTTGAGGTAAAATCCAGAAAAATGTCCTAAAGAAAAACGAGAAACCTTACCAACAAGAATGCCCCTCTTAGTACTAAACGCAGTCTGGCTGTTTTGGGACTTCCTGGATTTCCGTCGTGGAACTGGATTCCTCCAACAAATAGCCCTCCTAATACTAAACGCAGTCAAACCAAAAAACTGGCCCCTTAAGAGCATCCCCATTCTCCGAAGAACCGACCCCTTGACTTTCGACGTCGGGGTCCTCGGAGACAATTTGTTGATTCCTTGCGTATTGCCACCCCACCAAAAGGGTACCATGGAGCCACAAATGGAACTCCAGATGTCACCCCCCCCCCCTCATTCCATTTTCATAGGGCCAACAAGCTGGCTCCTGGAGTTAGGTAAACAAAAATCCTCAACATCCGAAACACGCACAACCCAAGTTGTGACCAAACATTGCGGCTGGCCTGGAATGCTTTTGGAATGGTGCTCCCGTCGCTGGTGCTCTGTTGCACTCTTGGGTTCCTTTTTTGATGGTGCTTAAAGGGAAAGCAGGTCATAGATCTACCCAAGACTATGGAAAGAATCAAAAGACCTTCCTGACCCATGACTTTCTGATGCCTAACAAAGGTCCCAATGAAATTCCATCCCAAACCCCAACAATGATAGAGGAAGTACCTTCAACTCAAAAGGATGCTTGTTCTTCTGTGTTTTCGTTTTCTTACAGAGCGAAAGACAAGGTCAAATCGGATAACCCAGATTTCTGCCATTCTCTGAAAACCTCTGAAAGCAACAAGCGGACTCCCGGGTAAAACACGGGTAAGACAATGGTGAGAAACGAAGAGAGTGCATACGGCACTCATAGCAGCAATTCATGGTAGTTATCTGGGCTGCCCTCAGATCCCCCGCTAAAAGTGTCTGACTTTTAGTGGGTCAAATTCGGAAACTAAACACTAAAAGGACCTAAAAGGCTAAGGAACCGGATGGCAACCTTGAGTCGCCAAGTTCTGTTTCAAGACCCCCGACTCACCGCCGCAGCCAACTCACCGACTCCTTTTTCGGCCGCCCGCGGGCCTGAAGGGGTGCTCCTCTTTGCAGAAGTCCCACAGCCCCCGGCCGAAGCCCGGCACGGCGCAGCCCTGCAACTCGGCCCCCAGAAGGCTCTGCAGCTCATCCAGCCCCGTCCGCGTCATCCTTTGGAGAAAAAACACACACACACACACAACCATCATGGGGGGCTGCGG